TAATGCTTCCGCTGTTCCTAACTTGAACCTGTGTTTAAGGATACCATTTGCTGAGATTCAGCTGGCGACAAAAAACTTCGATAAGAAGTTGAAGATTGGTAAGGGTGGATTTGGGAATGTCTATCGAGGGACTCTCAGGAACGACATGAAAGTGGCGGTGAAACGAAGCGAACCAGTCAGGTCAAGGTTTACCGGAATTTCAGACGGAAATCACGGTTTTATCCAAAATCCGACATCGCCATCTTGTTTCATTGATTGGATATTGTGACGAAAGGCTTGAGATGATACTGGTTTACGAGTTGATGGAAAAAGGAACTTTGAGGGATCACCTATATAACACAAAACTACCTTGCTTGTCTTGGAAGCAAAGGCTTGATATTTGCATTGGAGCAGCAAGAGGACTTCATTACCTCCACAAAGGTGCATCTGGGGGCATCATCCACCGGGATGTAAAGTCGACAAACATCTTGCTCGACAACAACCTCGTAGCCAAAGTAGCTGACTTTGGCCTTTCGAGGTCAGGCCGTCCAGATCAAACCCATGTCAGCACAGACATTAAAGGAACTTTAGGCTATCTTGATCCCGAGTACTTCAAAACACAACAGCTGACTGGAAAATCTGATGTATATTCGTTTGGTGTGGTTCTTCTTGAGGTGCTTTGTGCAAGGCCAGCTATCGATCCTAAACTTCCAAGAGAAGAAGTGAATCTAGCAGACTGGGGAATGTGTTGCAAGAATAAAGGATTTCTAGATCAAATTGTGGATCCATCCATAAGATCTCAGACCAACCCCAACTCATTAAGAAAATTCGCAGAGATAGCAGAGAAATGTTTGCAAGAAGATGCATCCGATAGGCCTACAATGTGTGATATGGCATGGGACTTGGAGTATGCTTTAAAACTTCAGCAAACCACGGTTGTACGAGATCCACACGAGGACAGCACATCGGAAGCTTCCGTTATGTTATCATCGCATGTCCTTGAACGTTTACCATCCACAACTCCAGAATTCGGGAGAGATGATATGTCTATGTCAATAGAAAGGGAGAATGACTCAGACTCGGTCCCAACAGAATGTGAAGTTTTCTCCCAATTGAGAATTGACGATGCCAGATAAATGAAAGTTTATATTTTTATTACATCTGTAGCTACATATGTACACATTCAGCTACATAGACATCTTACATATATAATATATGTACCAACTAGAGACCAATACTGCGGTCCTGAGAAATTACAAACCAGAAGAACATAAATCCGAAGGAGAGATTTGTACTAGTGACCAGGGCCTTTTCTGCTCGGTCCGGAATCCGTAGTTGCCGCTTGCTGCTTCGATAAAACCTGACCGCTGTTATCTTCGGCAGGATTTGAAGTTGAACCTATGCTAACATTTTTAACCTTGGGAATTGCTTCCCAGGTCGCATCTCCGGTCTTCTTTGCTGATTGAAGAGTTCTAGAAGAAGCAACAGATGGTGAAGGAACAAGCATGGCGGACACCACCAGAACAAGGCACAAGTATTGTTTCATCGTTAATGTTGTAAGTCTTGTCCTATGGTCTTCGCATGTCTTAATGACGTCGTAACCGCACCCTTTTGTATAATAAAAATTCAAAGGGTTTTCAAAATATTCTTTCAATAAAGAGTGGAGAGAAAAAGAATGGTTAAGCATCTCCATTGAATGAGGTACCTCCCCTTTTATAACAAAGTGGCAAGGGAAAGAATGGTTTATGGCCTTTCGGAGTGGTTCCATTAATGGAAATGTTTGACTGAGTTCTGTAGATTCGAATCTAAGTGTCAGATATGAATCTATAGTTATATGATCAAAACAAATATATTTGATTTTTTAAATTTTGAAAGGTTAGTGTTTTCAGTAGTCTCGTATGCATCAAACACGAATATTTTAGAGTTGAACTCGGTTTATTTACAGCAAGAACAGAACAGCTGGCCTTCTTCAAACATTAGCTGCTTAAACTGTGTTTATTATAAATATTTAATTTTAATTATGAATAGATCATAAAAGCAACAAAAGTGGAAATAACTCAAGATATAAACGACCTTGGAAAATGTTTTATCGAGAGCTATAAAACAATAAAATAGACAATCTACAAGATATTTCTTGTTTGATGAATTTGGAAACAAATATCCAAGACTTTTGTTAAAGATTATATGTTCATACCTACTAGGTTTTTGTTGAAGCTCGAGAGAATGCGGTTAAGCTTCGACTATAATATATAAATTGAGAGGCGTTTAAATCTTATGTAGAGTACGTTCGTATATCCTATCTGGAAGAAAATAAATTTTAGATTGTCTGGAGGGCAGGGATGCTATTTTTAGTAGCATCAGTAATATTGTACAGTTGAAATTTGCTGGAAAATGTCTAGATAAGGCTAATACAAGGAATATTCATTTGCGTATAGACTTGGATATTAGGGTTTAAGTTGGAAGGATGTTTTGTAATGTTGTAGCACTTTGCTGTTTTTTTTTAGATACAATTTATCCAAAAAATAATAATTTTATATAATCTTTTAAATTTTTATTTTTTATAAAAAAATAAAGAAAAAAGTTCAATTTTTAATAAATCTAGATATTCAAAAGAATCATTCATTTTGTCTTAATTTTATTTCAACGCCGCCTTGTCATGAATGAGACAACAATATATATATTCCAATGTAATTCAACACTTGCCTTGATATTGTGCCCTGCACAATCAACCCTTCAACTGGATGAAGAATTAAACGTTATTGCTGTATGGTTTTCCATGATTTCAGAGATAAATCTATCAATGTTCCGATTAGAAGAACCAGCATCTCCCAATGCTTTCTTAGCAGCCTCTTTCAATTCCATTGCCCTTCTTTTCATCTCCCTGGCTCCTGCTCCATCAGTCACCTCCATAATACACCTCTCAACCTCTTCTACGCTCAGTCCCTCTTCTCCACGGTTCCTCATCCTCACCCCAATCTTGAAAAAATCAACCAGCAGCTTCGAATTCGTCGGCTGATCCGTCCACTCGGGATATGCAACTACCGGCACACCGGCAACCACAGTTTCCAGGGCCGAATTCCATCCACAACGTGTCACGATGAAACAACAAGACCCCATTTCTCCTTTTTGATCTCTTCCAAAAATCCGCTCGGGAATTCGTCTTTTCTCGCATTTGATGCTTTAACAACCCAACGGAATGGTCTTTTGATGTTCTTCAATGCAAGGGCGATGCTATGAATTTGATTCTCTGATGACATAATGATGCTACCGAATGAGACGTAGATCACCGAGGATGGCTCTTGCTTGTTAAGCCATTCGATGCAATAATCCTGAGCTCTCCACATATCAACACTTCCTTCAACAGTTTCTTCCTTTCCTAGAAGGATGGGTGACACCAATGGACCAATCGGATAAATCGGTTTAACCAATGCCAAAGAGTTCACGGTCTCCTCTTCAAGCTCATTAACCGAATTCCCTAAAACCCATTTTACCTTATCCAAAACCGAAACGAATTCCGCAACCCATAGCCGAAAATGCGGGGGGCTAAAAGGTAGCATGAAAGTTGGAAGATCACCTACTGTCAGCTCCGGCATTCCAGGCAATTGTGCAATCCCATTGGGGTTTTCCAAGCTGGGGAACATGTTTGGACTCTTAATACAATGATAATAAATGGAGAAAACAGTTGAAGATTGGATCTAAAGTACACTACAAGGGATCCCATGTTCAGTGGCAGCCCCTGGCACCCATGGGATGAAAGGGCTGGTAATAAGGCATGAGAATTGATTGCCATTAGCCTTGAGGTCAGTAATGAGGTTTGAGACATTCCTGGGTCCGTTTGCCTTAAGTGAGGCAAGGAAGGTTCCGGTGTCCTAATCGCGATCGAACTCATGGCTAAGACCATCGGAGAAGAACTCGAGGGTGAGTCGACCGGGGCTGTTCTTGGAGGTGAAGTTGGTGGAGATTTTGGAGTCCAGCATCCGCTTACGTGCAACATCATTGGTGGCAAGGGTGACATGAACCCCCTTTGATACAAGCACTTTGGCCAGCTTCAACATGGGGTTCATGTGACCTTGCAGGGCTAGGGCCACCATTATCACTTGAACTTCTTCAGAACTCACCATTGCTCTCCAAGGATAAGACCTACACTATTTGATTAAGGGGGTGTGATTAAATTATTAGTGCCCCCTAATTGATTTATATGCAATGTATATTTTAGAAAAAATTTTATTTTATTAAACCATCTCTCCTTGTATGGAAGGGTATTTTTTTATTAATGATATTCCCACTCATAGAATTTAAGTGGAGATTTTGTTTCCTTTTTTTTATGTTTTATTTGATGAAAAAGGTCTTCCTAATTTTCTAAGAATTAATTATGCTATATTAGAAATTATGCTTAATGATAATGAGGTCATGGTTGGTGAAGATTGTAGCTCAAGTTAAACTCGTATCATGTACATACTTGATCTTTTGATATTAATGTTATTCTAATTCAATTCAATTTTGATTATAACACATATATAATTTAATTTAAGAAAGGACAATTCATAAATATAAAAAAATACTTCTCTTTCAAAAATGATTAAAGCTAACTAATCAAGATATTTTATAGAATAAAGGGAAATCGTTTTGCTTGTATGGTAATAAATCCATACGTTTAGTGTATCATTGAAAATCCAAGAGATGGTTAGCAAAATAAACTCTTCGTCGAGAAATTAAAATGGGATGAAACGATAATATAATAGATCAATATTTTTTTCCCAATTGGTGATCAAAATCGAACAATCAAAAACATAATATATGACGCATGTAGTTTACCCATAGAGAGAGGAGCGAAGTTCCGCCATGGAGTGGAGCCACCACGTCGTTGTCACTTTCCAAACGAAACGAAGCGTATCATATGAAGAGGGTAATGGCAATGATTCATTTCATGTGGTGAAGATGAACTATCTTAGAACAACATCGCCAACTTCCCTTTTCTTTTCATTTTATTCTTTTGGGCATTAGGAGTATTAATCAACCAAAACTCCCACGCGCAAATTTGATGGCCTGAGTTTGCAGATGGATACTCACTCCATTTCACTAACGGATTTCTCACCTCTGACTCGCCCTTTACGCCCTCGGAGACTCGCACGCCTCAACTCTTTCGAGTTTAAACCTTTGTTTTTCTCTCCCCTCTCCACCCGCTACAAATCCCTCTTCCTTCCTCTCACTTCCTACAATCTCCGAATCCGCTGCGTCGCTAATCAGGACCATGACCACCACCACCGCGATCACGACCATGGCCATCCCCATCACCACCATCATCATGGTTCTGGTAAGTTGAATGGTCCCCAGAGGGGTGTATATATGTGGGATGTCGGCCGAGGATGAGGTGCCAGATGATCCAGAGCAAATAGTAGGCAATTCAGCATCAATAGCAATGCTAAAGAGAGTGGCTGAAAATGTATCAAGCCATCTGACCCAAGGAGAAAAGCGATTGAAGGCGGAGCAAGCGTTCTTCCTGCCATGTACCGACGACAGTGTGCCGATAATCGGACAAGTTCCGGGCGTGAAAGGGTGTTATGTGGCCACTGGTCATAGTTGCTGGGGGATACTCAATGGTCCAGCAACTGGAGCTGCTTTGGCTGACCTTGTACTTGAGGGACGTGCTGCCATTGTTGATCTCAGTCCTTTTAGTCCTGCTAGATTTGTCGATGCTTAAGTTGGATTTTCAGATTCCATTTTTATAAAGTAAATGAGAATCAACAAATGCTTAGGTTTGCTCTGGCAGAAACCCTAAAAAATGTGGCAGAGATAATAATTTGTGTCCAAAGTGAATACTGAATAGCTCTCCAATAAGTCATATAAATATATCTTACATAGATGATATCTCGTTAAACTGATATTATTATGGAAATCCACACAAATATAGAAGAATTGGGATACACACAAAACCAACCTTAAGAAGATAATTAGAAAATAATATGAAATGAAAAACCAATGCACACTAGAACAAACACGATCGATGAGTATACTGATATAGGATGAATTAAAACAAAATGTTCAGTTTATATATCAATGTATAAAATCTCAACCATCAATAAAAACACAGAACAAAACTGTATTTTTAATAATTTGTACTTGATTATGGGCTCTAACACTCACCAAAATCCATTTGTTTTCAACCCTGAAGCAGCTGAAGCCAAGGCTTGTTTGCAAGCGGTCCTAGTTACCCATGAATTTGGCTTTCGAAAAGCCATCTTTGAAGGTGATTCATTGAGCGTAATCAACAAAATGACAAGCTCCATTGTTGATAGATCAGAAATTCGTGCCCTTATTCAAAATGTGCATCCTCTTAGAAGTCATTTTGAGCAGATTTCATTCAACCATGTGCGAAGAAATCAAAACATTCCAGCCCACCTCCATGCGAAATTAGGCAGACACCCACCTCGCAAATGTTTTGGGTTGAAGAAGCACCACCTGAAGTTGAAATAGCAGCCGCTCGTGACCGTTGGTGGGTTGATCCGCCTGATTAAGTTGGAATCCTTCATCAGTTTCTGACTGGAGATTCTTCATTCCTACTCCGTCTCTCTGTTTTCATCTGCATGCACAAGTCAATACTTTGCTCTGATTCATCCACAGAGTTCGAACAAAGATGTAAATTTGTTGATCTTCTTCTCTTCATCACTTGGTTGGAGGTTTCTGGAAGCTGTCTTCTTCTCTCTCGTTCATTTTGCTTTGTTTTGTTGTCGGTTATTTTATCTTTTTGTTTTAAGTTGGTTTTTGCCGGTTGAGTCTGTTCCCGGCAATGTTTTATTTACTTGACAGCTATTTAATAATAATGAGATCAACATTCACAGTAAAAAAATAAAAGAGTGACGGTATGAATCGGATTTAAACACACTGTTCCTCTTCAATCAAGCTTCAAAGAGAAGAGTGACAATGAGGATACCAATTTGTTGTATGGTATAATCAGCAGCTAGAAAAACATAAAATGTACACTATGCATCTTGGGTTACCATATTGTCAAATGTTTGTTGAAAGAATATAAGATCAATGCAATGTCTTCTTTGTCCCTTTCTCATGGTTCTATTGAAGTTACCGTCTTTTTCTTAGTTGCGACTGGCAGACGAGATCCAGAGCAGTAATCCCACATAGGCAATACACAGCACCGCGAGCTCTAGAACTAGTATAAATAACTGCAACTCCACCGCGGTTAACCAAGCAGACACGCAGTGAGCACAAAGCAAATTATTATTTCGCCTTTTATTAAAGAATACCGTGTGTTCGTTGCAGAAAGTGATATACGCCTAATTTTGAAAGACTTTTTCTTTGGAAAGGGCCCTAAATTTTGAGTTAAATGAATTTTTATTTATAGTAATTTCTCTTAAGAAGCGCATGTTCTGGAGTGTATTTGGTTTTAATTCTATCGAATGATCCACTGTTTGGTGTAAATAAATGTTGTCTCTCAAATTAATATAAAAAGTGCACAAGAATAAAGAAGATGAAACTCAAATAATACTACATTAAGATAAAACTTTTATATTTGTACACTCAAATGAAAATAAAAAAGATGAAACTCAAAACTCAAATAATATTTCATTTTTAGAAAGAAGACTTGCAAAATATGAGAAGAGAGAAAAAAATAGATAAAATAGGAGGAGGAGGTTAGTAATAAAAAGGTTAGTTTGAAAAATTCTTAATTATTTGACAATGAACCTTTATATATCGCTTTAGAAGTTATGCTCGAATTTAAATTCTCAAAAGATATAATAATCTATTAATCAATGAGATCGTTTGGTTCGTACAACATCCATCCGAATTTGAAATATTATAGATTGTATGAATGGTGTACACATTACAAACTCATAGGGTCACATGAAATGGAAATAATATTATGAACCTCAAGCAGTGTAATCTCATGTTTCATTATCCCAATCTAGGACAAAACTAATTAACTAAAGACAAAGACGGAATCTGATGAAAATCCAAGCAAGGCGTTGACAAGCTGCCTGAGAACAAGCTTATGGGTGAAAAACTATTAAACCTCACCGACCCACTGATCCGATTATAGTTTAAGTCTGATTAAGCTATCCAACCAGCCTGTCTCGTACTATTCACGGACCTAACTGAAACTCCATTAATCAAAACATAAATCTGTCTCTTTATTTTACCCTAAAAAAATGAGCACTTATAAGTAGCTAAGCATGTGGGATTACATGTTAGGTTTAACCTTATTTTGGACAGAACATAATATTTTAAAATTTGATTTTTTTTGAGTAATTATCTATTTTATTGTTTGTGTTCTTAAAATTTTGTGTCCAACCCATATAAAATTTCATGTTGATAATATGTATATGTACACACTATGTCACTTATACTCTACTCGATTTTATATTACTTTGTGACAAACCAACAATTAAAATGGTTTTAGTTGGCACAAAAATCAAGCCACATTATCCCACCCAGGGCTACACTATTGCCGGAATTTCACACCCGTCATAGTCTCTCCAGTGTCAACCAATGGAAATACCTCAATTATTAGGTGCACACGTTTTGGTAATAAATTTATTTTGTCCAAACCAAAATTTTAAGGTGTACAAAATTTTAAAAACCAGACAAATTTCACCCAAAAAAAGGAACACGTTGGCTGTATTAATTCATATCACCGTGTTCTCTCTTTTAGTTTACAACAATGTTGGTGGGAATGCCTAACTGTAAGAAGATTAAAAAAAAGGGCAAGAGTTGGCATGACCTGATGACGAGCACTCGCACTACATTTTTATTTTTTCCAAGTTTTCAGGTGAAAGTAGTATAGCTACTAGCCTACACTTGTTGGTTGTTGTGTTTTGGCTATCAAAATTATAACTTTTTATTGTTCACCAACAGACAAGGGGCAGTTAGATTCTGGTAATGGGTGTTTAAAGCAGCAAATTTTTACTAGGATTGGGTGTTTTCTGAACCTGCTGAAATAACAGGTCTACAGACTGATACATTCTTCGGTTTCGTGTGGAAGACGAGAAGGAGAAACACGATCCTCCCATTTGGGGTTTGAGAGCTCAGCTGAAGCAACTCCAGGAAATAGAAATGGTGTCTGTTTACACTTACTGCTTCAATTTTAGATCCATGTATTTATGTATGGGTAAATTACATCTCATGTCACTCTGATTAGGAATTATATCTCTCTAAAATAATTTTCTCTCATAATTCTAAAAGTTAAGACATACTTTCTATTTATAGAGTCAAATACTTGATCACCAAAAATTGTTATGAACACAAATTATTTATTAAAATAAATATTTACTTATTAAATAAATTTAAATACTAATTAACATTCATTACTAGAATTACACTAAAATCTAATTTGATTACAAATTATACTTTGGGCTAAAATATAACAACTCCATTATCAGTTCGATTATAAAGATATCATATCATTTTAACAATTATAATTCAATTGTCTTTTTTTTATTTGTTTTCTTTCAATATAATAAAAATTCAGTAACTTTAGAGAAGAAATGAGAGAAATGGAAAGTGAAAGCACTGTAGAAGCATGATGTTGATACAGCCAAAATGTGATATTGTCTGCTTTCTTTCTCTGCCTGTTTCTCTTCTTTTCTTTTCTTTTTAACCCAATGTTGATGTTAGTCGAGAAAGAAAGGAGTCAAAATCTTTAACCTGAGGGTAGGGTGGATCCCAGATTGAGCTTTTCAAAAGTTTATATCTTTTTTTCTATCCAACGAAAACAGCTGAACGCTGATGCCCTATTCAGTGATGGATCTTGTCATTGTTGTTTATCCTAAATTTTATTTTCTAATTAATCATTTATATTATTTATCTTAAAATTTTGTTTTTTACATCTTAAAAAAAATTAATATTGTTAATATATTTTAGATCGGTTATTGGCCTGAATCCAGCACTTGTCTATTGCGTTTGTATTGATGCTGTCACATCCTCTCTCTTTTTAAACATAGAAAAAGAAAAAGTTCAATGCTTTATCGTAGCTTTCCTTTATGTATTCTTATTCAGTTTCAGTGGATGAAATGAGAATTATGAGAATCAGCAGCTAGCTTTTGCTGCATTAATTTAAATTTTAGTGGTACTAGAAAAAGTAAAGACTGTTCAATTCTTTTCTTATTTATGTTTTAGAATTATGTATGCTGTTCTATTTTTTATATAATCTAATTTAATTCTATAAAAATGATTATTCTTCCTTCAAATCAAAAGAATAATTGTATTTAAACGTATCGGAATCCTCCTAAAAGGTTTGAACTTTAATCTTTAGGTGCCATTAAATATAAAGACAATTAAATTTGATTCAGATAATAGATTAATTTGATTTTAAATATATGAAAAAGAATAGAATGAATACTACCTTACTAAGAAGGGAAAGGGTTTAATGGACCACATCAGCATTAAAAATTCATTTAAATCCCTGTATTTTATTAACATCTTAATGGATTCAACTACTTTCTTTTTAATATGCATAATTCTCACGTAACGAGGTGCGTTATTGGTAAAGCTGCAACCCAACTATGACAAAAGAGAGGAGAGGATCAATGTTTTTATGTGTTTAATATTGCTGTTTTAATGATGACGATGCATTGATTCCCATGTGACGACTAGAATACCGACGCCATATCTTAATAAGAAGAAAAAATCAAAGCCTTCTCCCTTATTATAAATCCATTACATTCAATTAGACAAACGGTTAGATAAAGAGATAATAGATACATTTATTTTTAAAATTTTAGAAGTTCGTTCTTAAATTATCAAAATCATCGCATTTTTTAAAAGATTTAGTGTCTCATCCCACTAGACTAATTGAATGTTTGATATTTCTTACAATCTTTTTAAAGATATACGAGATGTTTATAGCAAGGGCTCACCAGCTAGTCAATGTTTGAAACGGTCTAGCAATGAAAGCATACCTATATATAATTCTCATGAAATTCGATAACGACGTTCTGATGAGAGATTAAGGACCCTTCAACAATAATGCTGCCCTAAAAATCATGCTCATCAATGCAGCAATGTTTGATTAATGTTACCCCATATACAATCATGAAAAATACTGCAAGTGTGGCCGTGGGGAATGAGAATATATGCTCATCCCCTTGTCTCTTTACCCGAAAGAATAAACAAGAATATCATTCCCCTTGTGAGTGCAAGTGCGGGAAAAAAAGATGATATAGTATTTATTAATGTTTTAATGAACATAAAAATTTGACTTCTTTTAACAATTTTATATGATAAATGATATGCATATAACACTAGAAAATTGGTTTATAAATATTATTATTAGTCCTAAATGAAATTTGTGCCATACTTTATTTTGGACTAAATAATCTTCCTCAAATATAAATATTTCGCATGGGAAAAAAAAAGAATAGAACGAACCAAAATTTGATTTTTAACGGTTTAGATTAAAGAAGATATAATGCTAAAAAAATTTCATGACGCTTGATTAAAAAATTATTTTAATTCCTTTTTTATAAAGCATTTTGACCTTGAACATTTCATTTAAGAGTAAAAATACTCTTAACATTTGATTAAATAATCACTTTAGTTCTTATTATATTTTTGAAGTATTTTGACCAATAACATCTATATTAGGGCAACATGCCACTATTTTAGAGCGTTGGTCGTATATTGACAAATATTTTTATCTACGAAATGATCCTTTTGTCCCAAAATGTAATGTTGGAAGATCAAAATGTTTTAAAAAATAAGAGACAAATTGATTATTTAGTCAACGTTACAATGTTTTTTTTGTGATTACGTGATTAAAGAAATAGAAAGCTTGATTAAAGTCAATGTAGGAGAATACTGCAACTTTCATCTTCACATGCATGTCTTGCAGCAAAGATGCTTTGTATTCTGATATTGTTGCTTGTAGGCGATTTTTCATTTATTATTTAATGAATCTTCTCAGGACTAATAAACACATAAAACCAACAACAGCGAGAGCAGTATTTAATCGATTTTTATAGTAAACCTTAAATTATAAATACATCTGCTGAGATCTGTGTACCAGTCCACTATGGTGATTACAAGTTTGCTTTGTTGAGCTGTTTATTAGTATTGTTTTTTAAAAACAACTTTCATCACGTGGTATCTGCACCTTCATAAGCATACAAGATAAATATGAGTTACTTGTTTTAGTCATTTCTCTCTCTTTGTGTTCATGTTCCACAGCAGAAATGTTGGATTTTCAGTTTGACAAATCATGAGTTCAATCTCGAGTTTTACACTCCATTTATGGTGGATCGTTGTTCTTGTTCTTGTTGTGGTTCAAGCTTTGGGACTGAACACAGATGGGGTTCTCTTGCTTTCTCTCAAA